TATTATGATTTCTAGATATGGGTAGTAAAATGTGCATTTTAGCCACTCAACTTTAATTTTTTTTTTTTTATTTTGTAAGTAGCAACAGAAGGTAGTCCAATTCCATTGCAATGGCACTTTGTGTCAGAGAGTGCTCTTTTTTAAACTTAACCTTCACTTTGTGGACGAGAGCGTTACTCTTGATTGGCCTGTAGGGTGTGCTTTCGTACCCCCCTGCTTTTCTAACTTCCAGCTCAGTGATTTTCTGATACCACGAAGATGCCTCTCTTTATCGAAATATCGTGTCTTAAGGTGGTAATACATTATCGAATGGTCGACAGTTCACCTTGAGTCAAATATATAGGTGCTAAATAGTCGCTACAACGTTGCTTTAGCGTTGAAAATCGTTCATAGACAGTGCAATTAACCCGCTATATTTAGCGGTGAAAGTACAGAAAGAAACCACTTAACAACTTGAAAACAAACGTGGATATCTAATTAATGTCAGAATAATAGGGTTTATATTATATATATGTATATATTTAAAGCAAACGAGGTGAAACACTCTCCAAATTAAAACAAATTTAGTGACGGAATGATAATAAATAATGCATGTATTTTCGAAATAATATGTCGGATACAAATTTTCCGACAGAAACTCAGTTTTATAAGAAAAATTAAAAAGTATGGTAACCACAAAAATATCTTACCTCATTTTTTCCAGCTTGTAAGAAAATAACAATAATTAGGCACAACAGAAAATACGTGATCAAAAGATCTTCTAATCAAGAACATAAGTTTTAACTGTAAAGAAGTAAAAAAGGAAAAGGAAATATTTAATCCTTCACCGATAAAACTTGTGTACTTGAGAATAATCACACCAGTGATCGAAACGTCGTGCCTGTTCTAAAACTAATCTTTCTTACTGTAAAAGCTGTAACTTGTAATATAATAATATAATAGAATGTACGATAAAACGTGCGGCAGACATTTGTTTACATAATACTATAAAGAGAAAACATTACAGAGAAATTCTTAGAGATAAGTATGAACTTCTGTATCTTAAGAAAAAAATATCATTGATGACAATAGTAATAAAAAACAAAAACCACTGAGTATCTAGAATTAGATTAATGACAATAGAGAGGACTTGATGTTATTATTTAGTGTTGGTTGATCATTGATAATGGAGAGGCTTTCTTTAGTAAAGAGTTCGTAATCTGTGGCTCCCGAACTGAAAATTTTAAAGTTTTCTAGATATATGGGGTGGTTGTTATTCACATTGTGCAATCGGATACAAGACTCGGATGAATTAATTAGCTTATATCTGCTTCTTGCTGACATTCCTGTGTGCTCGTGTGCAAGGTACTACAAGTGTATTTATATACGGCCCCCAAGTGCAAAGAGATGGGAAAAATGCCTTTTGTTTTAGACAAGTTTTGAATTTTAAATGTTGATTTAAATACTAAACGTAGCTCAATTTACAAGTAGCATGTCTTATTTCTTGTATTCTGGATTAAAATTTAAAACTTTGCCCATGAAAAAAAGTGATAAGAACTAGTGGATATTTTAAGACAGTGTGTGACTTCTTGGGAGTTTCTATTATATTTATTGAGAATGTTCGTGGAATAGAGTATAAGAAATTAATATTTATTGTAAAACTTCCTTTTCTGTCTGATGAATCAGTTACATATATATATTAAATATATATACAGGGGGTTGAGTACATTATATTAAGACAATTTTGGAGATTCACCATGTGGTTTGACGACAGTGGATCTTGACAGTCATTCTGTGTTGAGTGTTCCATTATAAAAGGCCCCATGGTAAGGTTTTAATGTCCAAAGTATACCACTTATCCCTAAAGGATTTCCATAATTCGTTTAGTGTACGAGAATAACGGTTTCCCACCCCCATTTCAAAAGTTTGATCGCACAGAAATCTGCTGTGTCCGGCGATTTGGATTAGCGTGAATACCCGTTACATTCTTCACCTGGTTGAGGAACAAATATGACGTGAAAGAAAATCGTGAACATGTGATTTGTGTTGCTTTTCCAGGCGGGGATCCTTCGTAATTGTGCTTGGTACTGTTGCCTGTTTTTTTGTTTGTTTTTTACAGTTCCGAACTTTGCTTATCACTGCTGGGGTACAACTTGTTGCAGGTCTCTTTCTAAATTAACCCTGGGTTCCCAAGATGATATATATTCTGTTGTTTTCCAAAGTCATAAACTACAAAGGGTATCTCCGTCTTGGAAATTCTAAATCCCCGAACTGAATGTCTCGTTTATGATCTGAGTGTATGAATATTTTGCGTAGGAAAAAACTGTTAGATACACATCCCAAATAAAACTCAAGATGTTTTGATTACAAAGAAACGATAGAAGTTGTACAGTTTATAAGTTAAAGCTTTGTTAATTGGAGCTAAGTCTGAGATTCTTAAACCAAAACTTCGGTTTAATAAAACAAAATGTAATTTTGCTACAAAATGTGTTGAAGTATGTAGTTAATATTCAAAAACTGGATTACAGCTTCTAATTGTTGGGTGTGGTTTAATAGTTATCGTGCTAAATTGGAAATCTGAAGGTTGCTGCAAAAATGCACTTCGCACTATGGGGCCGTGGGTGGGGCGCGTTGTGACGGTAAAATCAAACTACTACTTTAGAGTAGTCCAAGAGTTGACGGTAGGTACTGTTGACTAGATTGTCTTCTTTTTAGCACCCAGTGGTAGAGCAGTATGTCTGCAGACTTCTACTGCTAGAAACTGGGGTTCGATACCGGTGGTGGGCACACCACAAATAGGAACTTTGTGTAGCTTTGTGCTTAATAACAAACAATAACAACAACCTTCCCTTTAGTCTAACAGTTCAAACTGTGTAACTTTGTGCACATTTTCGAAACAAACAAATTGTAATGAATCAACGGTACACGCCAAACAATACAAGGTGAAATTTACTTAGTGATTTTAATACTGCATAGTAACGTAGAAATTCAGTAAGAAACCAAAGCTTATCATCAAAATGTGTGGGATTCATTTAAAACCAAAGTTCATAACTGGCAATTTTTAGGGCAGATAACTGTGAATCATATTTAGTAGTTTCAGTTTTCTCTGCACTCGGGTATGAATTATCTCTTAGTAGTCAAATGGAGACAGATATCTAGATAAGGACGGTGACACGTGTATTCCAGGGTTTTTACCTTTGATATATGCTTTAAATATGCAATGATTTCATTATTAAAACATCGATTAGTGCGAAATCAAACGTTCTAAACAGAGAATAAAAATGTCATATACTTTGTAGTTTATTTAAACTTTGACCTAGAAACATTAGAAACGGTATTTTCAGAAAGTTATGTCTATTTTTATTTCAAATATGAAATCATATAGTCGACGGAAAAAAGGGATTTGAACATCAACTGGGATATGTCGTGGTTAGATAATTCCAATTTCAGACAAGACGAACAATATGAATATGTAATTAATTCCAGTTTCATACGAGACGTGTGGTTTGGAAATGTAACACTTATGTTATGTAAACAATTCTACGTTTAACCTTTATATATATGAACTCTTATTGGACACAAGTTTCTACCCGAGGACCTTATGTACTCATATGTATTAACCCTATAGAATACAAGTTTCTACCCCAGGACCTTATATACTCATATGTATTAACCCTATAGAATACAAGTTTCTACCCCAGGACCTTATATACTCATATGTATCAACCATATAGAATACAAGTTTCTACCCCAGGACCTTATGTACTCATATGTATTAACCCTATAGAATACAAGTTTCTACCCCAGGACGTTATGTACTCATATGTATTAACCCTATAGAATACAAGTTTCTACCCCAGGACCTTAT